GAAGAAGAAGAAGAAGAGGAGGAGGAGGAGGAGGAGGAGGAGGAGGAGGAAGAACAAGAACAAGAACTATTAAGAGACCTAATGACTGAGGATCAGGAGTTCTACTGTTAACTGTTACTAGGACTTATACACACTATTGTCCTATACTGAGACTAGACTTGTAGACTGAGCCACTATATGTTACAGTGTGAGAGGGGGGTTCTCTTTCTTTTCCTAACTATTCATTGTTGACCCTGTAACTGTATGACTGATCCCATCACCTGATGTGTTTCACCTACATCAAGTGTTTTATATCCATCACGTTTCACCTATATCATGATTTACTTACATCACATTTCACCTCTATCACGTTTCATCTTCATCACTGATACAACCCAGTGAAACCTGTTTCATGTACATCACTGATCCAACTCAGTGCTTCATACTTATTAAACTCTATTCGCTTTACCCTATTTAAGTAGCACTGTATGGCTACTCTGTTACTTTAGTTTTGTCCTCTTGTTCCCTACGTACACTTCATAGGGACAGTCCTCTAGTAATAGACTCAGTTGTCTATTCAAGTCCTAGTCTCAGTCTGAAGCTCAGCTTCAACCAGTATACGCTCTCAAACTGCTATCAGTTATAGCGGCTCAGTTTGCAGCTCTAGTATCAGTGTAGGACTATAGCATGTATAAGTCCTAAGTAACAGTTAACCAATCGAACTCCTGATCCTCAGTTGTTAGGTCCCTTAACAGTAGTAGTCTTAAGTGGAACTCCTGATCCTCAGTTGCTAGGTCCCTTAACATTAGGACAAAACTCTCCTAGGATCACTAGTTCCTAGATCAGCAAATGCACCTGGGTAAAGTGTGGAGGGAATGGTCTTTGATTTGTCACAACTCTCCGACCTCTTCTATAAGCTAGCAGATTAAACAAATTAGGGCAAATTTGAGAACTCCAGTGTCTTATTCCTCCTGCCCTTCTAATCAAGATTGCCGCTCAACCACCATTACCAGTCACTGCGGTGGGATATCTCAACAGTGTCCAATCCATCTGCCAATCTATGATCGATATCTTTGGTGATAAACCTTTATTCATGCCATCTGCCAACCGCTCTTTTGGTCATAACAAGTTTGTACATTGCAATCAGGCAGTTGAGACCAGGGATGGATCATCAAAGGAAGTATCACCTAATGATCAGCGGATCAGACACCTGTCAGATAAGGATCACAAGGAGCACATGGATAAGAAGTTATGTTTCAGATGTCACAAACCCAGGCATCAGAGTTGCCAATGCCCAAACAATCGCATCAGGGCAATTGAATCCCATGACACATCCACTCAGGAACAGGATGAGACCAAGGGTTCCTCTGACGAGGAAGGGATAGCGGAAGAATACATTCAAGCTATATCCTCTGAGAAGGATTTTTGAAGTCTTCAATCGCCATAACATCAAATTGAAGTATTGGCACTAAGGAATATTTATATCAGGCGAGATTAGCTCATAAATCTATTTATTTGCCCTGCATATTAAAAACCTATGCCAAAACCATCACCACTGATGCATCGCTCGACACAGGAGCAATGGAGAATTACATCAACATCCAGTTCGCTCAAGATCACAACCTCCAGCACCAA